ATACCAGTTCAAATGTGAACACAGCAGTGACCCTACACTGCAAAATGGGATATTTTTATTTATTTTTTATTTTATATAACTTGTGATGACCTGGACTGTTATTTTTAGAATTATTTATTATTGTTACTATAAAATTTGACCAGAAAGAGACAGAGAGAGAGAAACAGAAAGAGAGAAAGCAAGCTACCAGGTCTAGAACTTAAACCACAGTTGCCATGTGGGAGTCCAGTGCCTTAACCATGAAACTACCTGATGGCCTCCCAGAATGGGAGAATTACAGATACCAGTGTCTGTCATCCCCACCTCGCACCACTGAGGAAGATTCACAGAACATAAATTAATCATTTAAGGGATCAGCAGATGGCATAATGGTTACATCACTGGACTCCCATGCAGTCGACCGCGGTTTGAGTCCTGGATCCAGTGGCTTAAATTCACGCCAGGCACATGTGCGTGTGTGCCCAAGATCCCAAGAGGAGAATGGAGAAGAGATTGCAGTGTGGGCATCACCCCCCCTTCCCCATAGGGTGATTTCTGACTTTCTCTTTCTCTGTCTCTGTCTCTCCAGTGAATGCACATACCCTATAGCAAAAATCTTCTTAAAAAATTAATAATTTTAAACCAATCATTTTAAGATGTGCAGTTTAGTCACTTTCTGTTCATTCACAACATTGTACAACCCTAGAAGCTACCATCTAACTCCAGAATATTTTTATCACCACTAAAGTAAGTCTGAATCCATTAAACAATTATTCCTTATTCACCCTCAGCCCCTGGCAAACACTAATCTTTTATTCCCTATGGATATACTCTTTCTGGACATTTCTTATAAATGAAATCAGACAATATGTAGTCTTTTACATTTGGTTTCTTTCACTTAATAGGTTTTCAAGGTTCATTCATATCGTATTATGTATCAAGAGTTCATTCCATTTTGTAGATGAATAGTATTCCACTGTGTGGATAAACATTTTGTTTATTCATTCATCAATTTATGGACATTTGGTTTGTTTCCACTTTTTGGCTGTTATGAACAACCCAATTTTATATTATTTATTTATTACTATCCTTATTTTTTTTTAAACATTTGATTGTGATACATCATATGACTTGTCAAGAAAATTAAGCCAACATAAAATACATGTCAGATCAGTTTAGTTAAGAATACTACACACGTTATCATCAACAGGTAATAAACCATTTCTGTGTCCCACAAATGTATTGCCTTTCTTTCTCCTCCCTGATTTCCTTCCCTACAACTATTCCCCTCTCCCACCCTCCTCTTGCACTGTCTCCAACGTCCATAACTATTTTAACTGTTTTTATGTCCTCCAATCTTTCAGTCTCTACCACAGAATGCGCATGGTCGGTATATATTAAGTGGAGATACACAGTATCTCTCTTTCATAGCCTGGCTTGCTTCACTCAGCAATAAATCGTCCGTATTCAACCACTTTCTATCAAATGTCAGGGTCTTACTTTTTATGGCTGAGTAGTATTCCACAGAAAATATGTGCCACATGTTTTCAATCCATTTGTTTACAAGTGTTTATAGACATTTGGGGTGGCTCCATGTCTTAACAATCATGAATAATGCCACAATAAACACTAATGTGCTTTTCTGACACATTCTCCTGTTCTTTGGGTATATACCCAGGAGTGGAACTGCTGGATCATATGGCAGTTCTATTTGTAGATCTTTGAAATCCTTCCATATTGTGTTCCACAGTGACTGGACCAATTTACATCCCCACCAACAGTGTAGGAGAGTTTCCCTTTCACCACAACCTCACCAATACTTACCATTTTTTGTATTTTTAATCTTCACCATTCTGACAGGGAACAATCCAATTTTTAAAATAGGCAAAGCGGGGCTGGCAGGTGGTATAGCAATTAGGGGCACTGGACTCCCACATGGCCAACCACGGTTCCAGTCCCAGACCTGGTGGCTTGCTTTTTCATTCCCTCCCTCCCTCCCTCCCTTCTTTCTCTCTCTCTCTCTCTCTGTCTGTCTTTGTCTCCCCCTTTGATTCTGCCCCACTCTGGTCAAATTAAAATAGATAAATAAATAATATAATTTTTTTTAAAAATGGGCAACGGACTTGGACATTTCTTTAAAGAAGGTAAAAATGGCCAATTAAGGGAACCAGCAGTTAACGTAATGGCTACGTCGCTGGACTCCCACGTAGTCGACCGCGGTTCATGTCCCGGACCCGGTGGCTTAAAACTCACGCCGGACGCGTGTGCGTGCGTGCCCAAGATCCCGGGAGGAGAATGGAGGAGAAGGGATTGTGGCATGACCATCCCCCCTGGGGGGTGATTTCTCGCTTTCTGTCTCTATGTCTCTGTCTGTCTGGCGAGCGCACGCACCCTGTAGTGAAAAAAAAAAATGGCCAATTAAAAAATCACTAGTTATCAGGGATATGCAAATCAACCACAATGAAACGCCACTGTCCATTTTTAAGGCTATGATTTTAAAAATGGATAACTCGTGTTGGAGAAGATGTGGCAAATCTGAGATCTTTCTACACTGGTGGTGGAAATATAAAATGGTACAGCCATTATGGAAAACTGTTTGGTGGTTCCTCAAAAGAGAAACACAATTATCATATGACCCATCAATTCCACGCCAAAGTGTATCAATATCCCCACTTTTCTGGAAGATCCTTGGCTTAGTGTTTCCCCTTCTCTTTCCAAAAGTTCAGAAAATTATTATTGTTATTTTGTTTAAAACAAAACAAAACAAAATTACATGAAGGAAGGCATGGAATATTGAGAGAATAATTTCACAGGTTATGATTCTAATTTAAAATGTGTAATTAACTTATGATTTTTAAATAAAAAAATATTAAGAAGTATTTTCCTAAGTTTGTAAATAGTATTGAAAAGTTTAAGAGAACTTAAAATGTATTTCTTAGTGTGAGTTAAGCTGAAAACATATTTAGAAAACTGGTTAAGACTTTTCTGGATTCTGGGGACCAGCGAATAGCATAATGGTTATGTCACTAGACTTCCATAGTCGACTACGGCTCCAGTCTCAGACCCAGAAACCACCAAGGGCATGTGTATGCACGTCCAAGATCCCGAGGAGTATGGAAGAGAACGGATTGTGGCCGTGACCATCCCCACTAGGGGTGATTTATCACTTTCTGTTTTTCTGATGAGTGCATGTGCCATATAGCAAAATATCTCTTTCTAGAAAAAAAAATTTTTTTTCTGGATTCTGATGTCATCTAAAATATTCTCATCATTTTCTTTAAACTGTAACACCTCCTCCTTCCTTTCCCAGACATCCAAAATGGCTTTTAAAGGCAACAATTCAACATGAACCCCACCCAAATCACACAAAACTCATTCTTTCCTTTTCCCTAAATGCTAGTTGGCTCCTAATGCCAAGGTACTAATCTAATTAGCTGAATGATATAATTTACACTAGATGAGAGCAGGCTCAAACACTCCCAGAATCCACATATTCTATAAACACAAACCTAAAAATGGCTATATTTGGGGATGAAAAGTCTAAACCCTGCTGCCTCTTTTTCGAGGGAAGACATCCTTTCTACTCAACCCCTTAATTGTTCCAGATAGGAAGACCACAAGAACTTAGCAACTATACCCTATCAGCTAAAGTTTCATTCTTTATTGTTATCAATATGTGTGTTTAAGGGAGGGTCCTTTTTGTTTTTGTTTTGCTTTTGCTTTTTATTTAAGAGAGATTTTTGCTATAGGCACATACGCTAGCAGGAGAGACGGGAAGTGAGAAATCACCCCAGGGGATGGCACAACCCCTTATAAGCCTCCATTCTCCTCTCAGAATCTTGGGCATGCACACACATGCAACCAGCATGAGCTTTAAGCCACCAGGTCCAGAACTTAAACCACAGTCTACTGCATGGGAGTCAGCAATGGACACCATCTGCTGGTCCCAAGGATGGTCCTTTTCTAAAAAGATATTTTTTAAGAATTATTTATTAAATTTTGTTATTATTTTTTAATTTGACCAGAGAGAGACAGAGAGAGACAGAGAGGAAGTGAGAAAGCAAGCCACCAGGGCCAGAACTTGAACCACAATAGGCCATGTGGGAGTTCAGTGCCTTAACGACTATGCCACCTGTTGGCCCAAGGAGGGTCCTTTAAAGAGGTTTTCTCCTGTGACCAGCAGTTAGCATAATGGCTATGTCACTGGACTCCTATGTAGTCGACCGCGGTTCATGTCCAGGACCCGGTGGCTTAAAACTCACACCGGGCGCGTGTGCGTGCATGCCCAAGATCCCGAGAGAATGGAGAAGGGATTGCGGCATGGCCATCCCCCCTGGGGGGTGATTTCTCGCTTTCTGTCTCTCTGCTCTCTGTCTGGCAAGCGCACACGCCCTATTAGCAAAAACCTTTCCAAAAAATAAATAAATAAAATTAAAAAATAAAAAAAGAGGTTTTCTCCTGTTTCCCTGGAGTCTTTCTCTCTCTCTCATTCATTCATATTTAACAACAACAAAACGAAATGCATAAAAATTTCTATAATAGAGTTAAAGACCAAAATAAAAGATATAAGGAAGAGAAAGAAGGGATCACATAAGATATGGAGAGACAAATGGAAAAAAAAAAAACTTATCTTGGGACCAGCAGATGGTATAATGGTTACATCGTTGTACTCCCAAGTAGTTGACCATGGTTGGAGTCCCGGACCCAGAAGCTTAAAACTCACGCCAGTCATATATGCATGCATGCCCAAAATCCCAAGAAGAGAATAAAAGAGAAGGGACTGTGGTGTGGCCATTCCTCCTGGAAAGTAATTTTTTGCTTTCTGTCTCTCTGTCTCTCTGGTGAGTGCACATGCCCTATAGCAAAAATCTCTAAAGAAAGAAAGAATCGAAGTATACTTAAGAGCAAAGAAAAACATGATACGAAATGAAAAACATTTCTTTTTTCCTAATAAAATATGCATACAAATTTGAACTCTGTTATTCTACAGTGTTTCAGAAGTTAGTAAGAAAAGAGTATACCTGAGACATTTGGCCCTGGACTTTTGTAACGTGAGTTGTTCGAATATTTAAAGACTGACTTCTTGTTACAGTTGTCCCAGAAAGAGATTTTCCATTCACCTTTCTTTCAAGGTGACAACTTGCAAGTGATCTTTCTTCAAGAAGAACAGCATCCCAAGGATCTTCTGCTAGCAAACTTGGAACATTTTTCTCTTCATGATCTAATATTTCCACATTGTCCACTTTTGGCTTACTTAGAGGATCCAAGTCTAACCAGTCAAATTTACTGATATCTTCAGATTTTGGGGATACCTGTAGATTGCTAACTGTAGCTTTTGCATTTATTTCCAAATCAGTCCTTGCTTTCCCATTTTTTAAAAATTCAGATGTACTAGCTATTTTGTCAAATAGTTTTGCCATGTCAGGACTGACTACTGGATGATAGATAGGTAAGCTTCCTTGAGGATGAAAAGGTGTGACAGGTGTCAAAGGATATGAAAAGTATGGAGAATGTCCCGGAAGACTTAAATATACAGGTTTTGTAGGTGGAAAAGTAGGCATTCTTGGATTGAAGCCATTCTGGAATGCAGCCTGTTTACTGTAAGCTGAAGGATAAATAGAAGGTAAAGTATAATTGGAAGGCCCAGATAAGCCAGGTTGCCATTGTCCTCTCTGAATAGTGGGTCTAAGATAGAGCTGTGCTGAAAACGAAGGGCTCAGAACAGGAGTAACTGGTAATGCAGGTGTCTTTTTAGTCTCAAAATTGTCATCTAGCAACAGTTTCTCAAGTTCAGCTTGGGTGAGTTTTTCTACATCAATATCTACTGCTCTTTTTTTGGAATCTGATTCAGGAAATACCATGAGATCATAATCCTGTTTGTTAAAAACTTGTGCTTTTTGTCTGTTGCTGCTTGACAACTCAACGTCTCTCTGGTTGTCAGTTCCTTGTCTATCCTTCTGCAGTTTTGCTAAAGCCTCTGCTTCCATCTGCAATGCTTCTTCTTTGTCCACATCTGATGTTCTTGTTGATTCTAGATGTGAAGATGAATTTTGTTTAAATCCATTGCTGCTGGATATCTGAGCCATGTCCATTAAATAGACCAAACCTTCCCCAATCTATTTTTTTTCTTGTAGCTTATGAATTAGCAAGACCTACAAATAAAATAAACATAATATTCTATTAGATTTCTTAAACACAAATAAGTTTATTTGTTTGCAACCTACCCCATAATGATTTAGAATATAAAGTCACTTACAAAAAATACACTATGGGGCTGTAATGGCTATGTCGCTGGACTCCCATGTAGTCAGCCATGGTTCAAGCCCTGACCTGGTGGCTTAAACTCATGCATGTGCGTGCCTAAGATCCCGAGAGGAGAATGGAGGAGAAGGGACTACAGCGTGGCCATCCCCCATGAGGTGGTGATTTCTCACTTTCTGTCTGTCTCTTTCTGGTTCTCCAAAAGAAAGAAAGAAAGAAAAAGTACACTACTTTATTTATAATTTAAAATTTATATATAATTATTTTTAATTTGACCAGAGAGAGACAGAAAAAGTTAAAAAGCAAGCCGTCAAGTCCAGGACCCTAACCACACTTAGCCATGTGAGAGTCCAGTGACCCAACTACCACGCCACCTGCTGGCTCCAAGATCAATAATATTAACAGTAGAATGAAATCTGGGTGAAGGAACATTTACTACTTTATACACTGCTAGATAAAGATGTTTGGGACATATATAATTTTACCCCATTTCCTGACCTAAAATGAAAGCTGGCACAGTAAACAAATTTAGGAAGCTTTTACTGCTGTCACAATGCCTACCATTAACCACTGGCACTTACGGCAATATTCTTTGCATGAAATGACTTAAGTGCTGGTTGAGTATTGTCAGCAGTTCAGATAGGGTTTACTTTACTGTTATGCAAACAGCAAATCAAATAGTTTCAACATTTTGCTATTTGTTAAATTACTCAAAAGCCAATTACTGATAAAAGCAGCCTATACCTAGTTAAGGAAAAAAAAGAACAAATTATCAAAATAATCTACAAATACTAAAAATGTGTAATACAACATAGATTAGAATAAAACTCTTAAGCTAAATAGGGTCAACCCTAGAGCCTAGTAGTTAAGGAAGCGGGATTCCACATGGTGGATCACAGTTCAAACCTTGACCCAAGCAGCTTGAAAAATACACTGGTTGCGGAACCAGCAGTTAGCGTAATGGCTATGTCGCTGGATTTCCATGTAGTCATGTCCCGGACCTGGTGGCTTAAAAGTCATGCCAGGCACGTGTGAGTGTGTGCCTAAGATCCCGAGAGGAGAACAGAGGAGAAGGGATTGCGGCGTGGCCATCCCCCCTGGGGGGTGATTTCTCACTTTCTGTCTCTCTGGCTAGCGCATGCGCCCTATAGCAGAAGCCTCTCCAAAAAAAATACACTAGTTGCATGGCATTGGAGGTTGGACAGGTGGAGAGACGGAGAAGGGACTGCTGCGGGACTACCTCATTGTGTGTGTGTGTGTGGGGTGTGCTTTCTCTCTCTTCCTCTCTCTCTGGCGAGTGCACATACCCTCTGAAAATTAAAATAAGAAGAAGCTGTGATAGTCCATTCAAAAGTTAAATTATGACTGAATTCATTACATAGTTTTCATCACACTTCTGATTATCTGCACTTAAATCAACAGTTATATTAATACCACATTCCTTTTCAAACTTAAGCATTTTATTCTTAAAAAGACTAGAAGACAGTTAATTTTCAAACTTTCTCATAAACCAGAATGTAAAAATTTATACTCCTCTATCTAAGACAAATGCAAAATTCAGAACAAGATCACGCTGTGAAATAAAACAACAAATGAAAAGGTTATTTGCTGTGTAACAAAGGGCATATTTCCTGCTTCTGTTCAATATGACTCGGTGGTTAAATGTAGGTTCACACTACCTTGGTTTTCTGTTTTTGTTTTGTTTTGTTTTGTTTTTTTCTTTAAAGTTTCTTTCTTCTATGAGAGACAGAAAAAGAGATAGAGAGACAGAAGATCAGGCACTCCATCAAGACCTTCAGACCGCAATCTACCACAGCTTTAGCCGGACTCAGATCATTGGCACATGTACCTGGTACGTTCAGGAAGAACTCCAGATGTAAAACCAGAACTTCTTAGGTGGGCTAGGACTTCTGGAGTTCCAGTACTGCTGTGCTATGGTCTGGCCAGCCCCCGCCCTTGGTTTAAAGCTGCATAACCTTGGACAAGTGAAAACTTTTCCAAATGTCTTAATTCCTAAGTTTCTAAACTGAAAAGTATTTCTCTCTAAATTACTATAAATTAAAAGTGCTTATCATGGGACCAGTAGATAGCATAATGGTTACATCGCTGGACTCCCAAATGGGCAACTGCAGTTCAAGTCCTGAACCTGGTGGCTCACTTTCTCTCTCTCTCTCTCTCTCATGATCTACAGCAAATTACAAAGAATAATAAATAAAATTAATTCTTAAAAAAATTTGTATACTTCATTTTATGTAAATTTTATATCAAAAGAAAAAATTGTAAACAAATATTGAGCTCTTGTTAAAAATGCACAAAGTACTTAAAGGAAGGTACTAATATCCATAATTTACTTTAAAATGCATTTAAAAAATGAATAGTGGATAGACAAAGGAATGACAGATGGGTAAATATCTGGTAAGGCAAGTATAAGAAAATGTTAAAAGTAGAGTCAAGGTGGTAGGTATATGGGTGTTTACTCTGAGATTCTTTCAACCCAGATGCCATAACTGAAAATTTTCACATTTCAAAGTTGGTGGAAGAAACAGGCACAAATTCCTCATATTCTAGTATACATCTCATTCTGCAATGGATGTTTTTTCCTCCTCCCACTAAGGAAGTGAGGTCTATTTTTCTATTGCACTTGCTTGTTCCAAGATGGTCTGTGACTTGTTTTGATGAATAGAACAATGTAGAAGTGACACTACGGGTGTTCTAAGAGTAGGTCTAAGAGGCCTTGTGCTTCCCCTTCCTTTCTTGAAATGTATTCACTGCCATGTGAATGCTGAGTATGAGAGAATGAGGAGAGATAATTCCAACAAATACCAACACCAACCACCAGACATGAGTGAAACTACTATCTTAGAGGGCCTATCCACACTCCAGATGACCACAACCACATGAGCAACCCAAAGTCTGACCAGCAGATGAAACCACCTAGCTGGGTAAGCCAAACTACTACCCTGCAGAATCATTTTGGAATGGTTACAAAGCAACAGATAACTGATAAATCTTTTCTTAATTTTAGAAAACAAACTGAAGCCATTTAACTATGTAACAACTAATTTGTTTCAATCTTTCACCATCACCTTCCTTCGCTAGTACTTCTGAGAACGAACAGTTTCTCTTTCCTTTCTATTTTTTAAATATTACTTATTTAATTCCATTTGTTATTATTATTTTTTTTTAATTTGACCAGACAAAGACAGAGAGAGAGAGAAAGGGAAAGTGAGAAAGTGAGTCATCAGGTCCAGGACTCAAACTACGGTCGGCCACGTGGGAATTCAGCACCTTTAACCACCATGCCACCTGCCCACCCCTATCTTTTTCCTTTCTATTAATTAAACTACCTCCTTCACTTATATACTCAACTATACTGAATTTTCCTCTACTTCCTTGTAATGATTACCTCCGTTGCATTGTTAATTTCTACTTTACTTGTTTCTGGATCTTTGCCATAAATATACTTTTTCTCATATTAAAAAGAAAAAAAATCTTAATATTCCCCTTTAGATTCTAGTAATTTTCATTTTCTTCTTATTTCCCTGCCAGATTTCTCAAATGAGTGCCCTAGAAAGTCCTTTCTTTACACATTCTGTATTGGAAAAACTTCTATCTTTAAGAGCCTAGTTCAAATACTACCTCATCTCTGAAGCTTTGCCTCCAAAAAGCACTTACCAGAATACATCTTGTTAGCTCAATAAAAAAAATAAAATTAAATTGTAAAAAAATCAGTTTTCTCTTTCCACTGGAGTTAATCCCTGAACTTGCTGAAACTATCTGGAAACGAAGTTTTCACTGAGGTGGCTAAACTTAGGAAATGTAAGCTGAGGAGCTGCTGCCTGAGAATAAATCCAAGCCAGAAGAAATTAGAGCTAGATATTGAAGTAATACAGATTCTGGGTAATATTAAGCATTTGAAGCCAACCTCGCCCACAGCCAATCTTTTCATTTATGTAAGTCAATAAATACCCCTTTCTGCTTAAGTCAGCTTAAAATGAGTTTCTGCTATGAGGGAAAAAAAGTTCTGCTTAACACAACCTGTGGACCTGTATGTCTACTCAACAAACTAAAATAAGCTTAAGTGCCAAGGTCTACGTGTTCATGTTTTACTCTGCCACCCATGGAAAAGCACTTTGCTCAGTAAACATGGAACTTAATTTGCTGGACATATATTAACATGAGAGAACAAGGACTGCTAGATAGTCTTAAAGAAGGCATTTCTGATGGCACAAGAGTATGGATAACATGGTGGAAGAAATAAGTGCAATCACCTGGCTTTTTTCTTCTTTATTTTCTTTATTCATAATAGAGTACGTACACATGCATGTGAGAGAGGAGAAGGAAAGGCGTGAGAGAGGGAGGAAGAAGCACCCTCCAAAGGGTCTGGTCACACCACAGTCCCCTTTCTACAGCTCTTTCTACGGCTCTTTGGCATTCCCACATGCTTTAGGCTGAACAGGCGGGGGATTCAAATCATGATTGCCAAGCGGAATCTGGTTTCTCTGGAGCAGTGCCATTATTGCTGCGCCATGAGCTGGCCCTTACCTGTTACTTAAAACACAACATGTTGTCTCGTTTTCACAAAATTGGATAAAACATTTTATAAAAAGAGAGAGACACTTAACTAGTTCATCTTCCACAAGCATGATGCCAATTTGCTAATTAACTATTCGGGTTACCATATTTAATAGTGAACGATAAAACACTCTTCTGTAAGGGAGAATCTGGACTTTTTAAATAATGAGTTTAAAATACAGTTTATTTACTGAAGGGCACACTTATTCTAAATATTCCAAATAAATGTTAACTCTTTTTTACTGATAGGTGTGAAATAATTTGGGACATATTTTAACAGTGAATGCACTTTTTTTTTTTTTAAATCATGCATTTA